GACCCTGAGACCATGACCTAAGCCGAAGGCAGATGCTTAACTGACTGAGCCACCCAGAAGCCGCCAGTTTCATTCTTTTGCATGTTGCTGTCCATCTCTGGGCGATGGGCGATAGAAATAAAACTGGGGACTTGCAGCTCACCTTTCTGAAGCAAGTATAATGAGGATGGCCAAGGCTGTCTTACTTGTTGAAGACCAACACGAAACAACACACTGCACGGAAAGAGGCATGAACACCAACAGGGAGGTCTTCAGGCTGAGCTGCTCTGTATTTTCACTGAAGCAAAATACAAGCATTTCAAAAATAACTGCATATCAAATTCGTCCCTGAGTTAAGAAGGCCCTTTCAGTAGCAACTAGGGATTCCACACAATGCCAGTGATCTGTAAGTATCTGTATGCAGAAGTCGGTGCCTTCCAAGGTTGTATCAATGTGTTAACCCAGCAAGGTCACAGACACTGCTGCCCAAGACTTAAGTAAAAAACAAACCAAGTGAGCAATCAGATGGGTGTAGACGCCCAAACCCCCAAACAAACAAAACCACACACTTGAATCTGAGGTCGGAAAACTCTGCTACAGAGGGAAAAATTCAAAACACTCTTGAAGAAAGGATGTTAACCCAATCTACTTTTTATTTCCTTTATTTGACACATATTTACAAAGCAAGACACTATTTCAAACACCGATGGTTCTGCAGTGCATCAAATAAAGCCTCATCTCCTGGAACCTGCCTTCTAGGAGGAGAGAGACCACAGACGAGCTCTGGGACAGGGAGTGTCTTCACCAAGACTTGCCTTCTGTGCTGCCAACAGAGGCCCAGACTGCGGTCTCAGTGTTCTGTATGCCTACCGCCCCGTACCTCGAGTGTGCACCGTCCCACAACAGCCAACACCACCAGACCACAACCTGTGTCTTTTAGCTCAAATATAAAGGGTGGAGGGTGGTGGAGCCGGCGTCACCAGTTAGACCCCAAGACCTGACCTTTACTGCCCATCTGCTTGCACCCAGTGACCTTCATCCCACATTTTTCCTGAAGCTCTTCTTTCCAGCTGCTCTCTTAACTCAGGCAGAGACCCGACACGTAAAGTATTCGGTGATGGACACTGAAACTGCTCCCCCCCACCCCCAGGCAGTAACAACTGCTCGGACCACCCGGACCAGTGGGAGCTCAACCCGCGACTCATGGACTCACGCCTGTGCAGATGGACCAGGGAGCGGCCCACAGTTACCCTGACCTCATTATGATACTAAGGCCTCTGTCCAAGGAGGAGCACAAGCCTCTCCTTAAGGTACATGTGTGACTTTATGCCCGCCTCTACATACGATGACAAAGCTCCCCTGAGTATTCATCCGAACCCTAAATAAAAGGAATCCATCCATCCTTACTCGAGAGTCCTGGCTTTGGAAGTTATTCCCTGTGATCTCCTTATTGGCTGCAAATAAAGTTCTCTTTGTGCAACAGCTTACCTGGTGCAGTTTCTCTGTGTGACTCACTGAGAAGTGAACTCAGGTCTGTTCAGTTACCAGAGGTCAGGGGACAAGTGGTGGTGGATCACTGAGGGGTCCCCAGGGGCAACCAGCCTCCATCTCTGGATCTTTTAAATCTTTGGAGCCATGACTTATGGGAGACACTGGAGAGAAAGGATCAGGGCAAACCTACCTTCTTGGGCCAGCCTCTCGTGGAGGGCTATGGGGGAAGCATATCCACCCAGAGAAGGCCAGGTGGCTTGCTTCGGGGCAGGCCCCACAAAGCATGTCGCCTGGCAAAGAAGACTAGCCCACTGACACGAGATACTAGAGCTGCACAGAGACAGTCATCTTTCCAGGGACTACATTCCCCGTCCATTGGCAGCAGCTGTTGTGGTAGACTGTAAAAAATGGCCACAAATTGCCTGGCACTCCTCCATCAAGGTAGCTCTATTGCTCCCCACTCTCAGAATTGGGGCTTGCCTGCTGGCTTGCTTGGATCAGTTAAACATGGTGGGAGCTATAATGCATGAATCCCAAGCCTACAGGTATATCACAACTTCTACTCTTGAGAACATTTCCATCACCATGCAAATAAGGCCAACTAGCTCCCTGGAGGGCGATATTCCAGATGGAAAGAGGTTCCAGTTGGGGATGCCAGACATGGAAGACATGCCACCCTAGACCACTAGCCCCTCTAGGCCAGCCCAGACCAGAAGACCCTCCCAAGCCAATCAAACATGCATTCAAAATTTGTTGTTTTAAGTTACTAGGTTTTGGAGTGATTACTTAGCAAAACCAACTGATATAATTTTAGAAGACAGGGTACTTGGAAGCTGAATACAAATAACTTACAAAAATATACTGAATTGTAACTCTTCCTAAAAGGTATGCCATGGGTGGGTAACACAATTCAAAAAGTAGCCCACCCAACTCACGGTATGTGGCAGCAATGTGATTCTTTAATTTCTGACTCTGCCAGGCTTATCAAAATATCCCACCTGCATGGAAAGGAGTATGATGGTTAAATCTGATTAACAGAAGCAACTATACGGGCCAAGAGCAGGCCACCCCAGATGGGCCACTGTGGCGTGAACATTATTTTGAGTTAAAGGCAATCAAAACCCAGCAGATTCAGGAAAAGCTCTTTACTGCCCCCTTAACTGCCTGCCCATACCAGGAAGAGAGCTATTAACAGACTCCTTTTCACCTGAGACACTTCTCTACACGACAGGCAGCCCCTATTCCCAGACCTCTCCTCCCCCCTCCCTGCTAATGGTCCCTCTCCCCTTTGTGTCCCAGACCCAACCCCTCTCCTGTGCTCCTATAAGCATCACATTGCCCGACCATGTTTGGAATTTCCTTATCTGTCTGTGCATTCCCTGTACCCTACGAAGTTTGATTCTTAGTCCAGCTAGAAGGAGCTGGGAGGGCCAAGGAGATTCTTCCTCCCCGACACAACAATCTCAACTTTGAGAAGCTCTAAGTATGTTGAAACCTTTACAAAATGCCACTTCTGAGTTCCTGATGTATAAAGTGACCCAGACACTTAGTAACATAATAATGTGTATCTTGAAGAAGGGTTATGTCTTATTTATGACTCAACAATAAATGTATGCTTTCTTCTTTCTTGTGTTAGTTGATAAAGACCATTAAGCAGGACAAAAAAAGAGGCTTTGAAAAAAAGCTTTGAATAGTTCAGTTCTTCCCGTTCTTTTCTCCTCTCCCATCCCTCCTTTCTTTTAAAAATTTTGAACCTTTTATGAGCCTAGACCGTAGTGGGTGTATTTATCAAAGGATGGGTACATGGTGGAAACTCTTGCGAGCATTTGGCTGGAGGATATCTGGGAGCCCAACTAACCTCCCAGATCTTTAACCCATTTCCTGCAGGTTACTTATCAAAGAGTACCAAGCAGAGCGAGGAAATGCTGCCAAAGAGAGCCAACAGCCAACCACCAGTTCTCCAGGGCTCAAAGGTTGCCTGTTTTGGACTACATTCCTGGCAGAGGCTGCCTCTGGCAACACAGGAATGACTTGGGAAGTTGGAACAGATAGGTCCTACCAGTTTTAATTACTACTGCCCTGATGAAATGGTATGTGATTTCCTCCTCAAATAAGACCTTAAAAGAAGCATTCAGGGTCCCTTGAGTTCAGATACTATGAATCTATGCACTAGATACTTGCAATCAAATACTCAAGCAAGAGAGGCAAGAGAGGCTGGTGTGCCCAGGGCCCAAGGCAAGAGGCCTGGAGGACAGCCCTGACTTCCAGCACCCCCCTCCACGATCCCCTGGGTCACTACCTCGCCCCCCACCTTACCTTTTCCCATGCAATGTATTTTGCAATTAGGCATCACCAGAGCCTAGAGGTTTCCTTTAGGCTCCTCACAGCCTGGCCCCTACTTCAATAATCTCATTTTCTGTGTAGCATCCTGACTTCTTGACAGACATCGTGAGCACAAATAAACCTCCTGCTAAAGTTTAAATTCATTCTCTTGTCCTTCCTTTTGTGACATTAAGAGCAGAAAAAACTTCTAAAGCTATTACTTTAAACCAATATGAAAATATTAGAAAAGAGAACATATTTATGCATTACATATAAAATAAATAAGTAATTTTTAAAAATCACACTCATTCTAATGCCATTTAGAAAACCAGTGTTTTCTAAAGTAATATGTAGGTCTAAGAGATATTATTTAAATATATATACATTTACATACAGTTACACAGTTTTGTTATATTCAATGGTTTTTACCAACATTACCAGTGCAATCTACTAGGGAATTTTCAAAATAAAAATGTTATCACTGCTGATAAACAAATCCTACGCTAATACTATGCAGTACTGCCTGCACGGTGAGTGCTCGGTCCTCTCCACAGCCACCCTGAGAAAGGGGGCTGTGATCACCCCCATGTTTCAGATGAGGAGCTAACCCACCGGGAGGCTAACTGCCCCCCTGCACCCGGGCAGAATGGGGCAGAGGCCGTCTGGGTCTGGCTTGTGCTCTATAGCATTCAGCCAACCTTTCAGAAGAAGAACGGAAAGGCCATGTTGTATCAGAATTTTATTTTAATTTCTTAAAAATACTTATTTTTTTTAAAGATTTATTTTCTTTTAGAGAGAGTGAGAGAGAGAGAGAGAATGAGCGCACGCGTGCACACACACATGCACACGGCTGGGGGAGGAACAGAGGGAGAGAAGCAGACTCCCCACTGAGCAGAGAGCCCGACCCCGGGCTTAATCTTACGACCCTGAGATCATGACCTGAGCCGAAATCAAGAGCTGGACGCTTAGCCAACTGAGCACCCAGGCGCCCCCATATCAGAATTTTAAAGGAGAGACAGGAGAATACCACTTTCCAAAATAAAAGGAGAAACCCAGATCCACTGTTTGCAAGGATCTTAGTGTTACCAAAGTCACTCTTGGTCAGCTTGATAAATAGGCAAAGTCTGATCAGCAACATGGAATGTGGTGCATAATACCTGACTTTTAGAAAGCACAAGAAATATTCTTCCAAACATTATACTTCTTACCTCAATGTCAAATATTTCCATAGTGTTGTCCAGCAGCTTCACTCGGATGTGAAGGTGCTTCTCCTGCATTCTAGCTGACGTCCGTGCTGCTCCTGCCGAGAGAGTCTGCCCAGGCTCGAGGGTGCTCACCCCTGTTGGGGTCTGGGTGCCCAAGCGTGTCCCTGGAGTCTGCAGGACTCTGTATGTTCCTTCTATCTCCCCCATTCTTCACCAGCTAAGAATGAAGATTCCTCTAAAACAAAAAAAGAACCCCAAAGAGTGATCAATAGTTATTTAGGGGGCACCTGGGTGGCTCAGTCGTTAAGCGTCTGCCTTCGGCCCAGGTCATGATCCCAGGGTCCTGGGATCGAGTCCCACATCGGGCTCCCTGCTCGGTGGGAAGCCTGCTTCTCCCTCTCCCACTCCCCCTGCTTGTGTTCCCTCTCTCGCTGTGTCTCTCTCTGTCAAATAAATAAACAAAATCTTTAAAAAAAAATAGTTAGATATTAAAACAATGTAAAAAAAATTATCAGGTGCACAGGAATTCTCTGCTCTATTTCTGCAACTTCTAGAGAGTCTTAAATTACATCAGAACAGAGTTAGGATTACCTTCCACTCATACATAGATTGGTGGAGCATAAAATACCAGGCACTGTTCCGAAAGACAGTATTTCCTGGTGCTTCTGCAAGCCAGGCAGTGTGTCACGTCACTGAACTCACAAAACCTCATCCAACAGTGGCCTGTCCCTTTGTCTGGCTGCCTAGAGTCCCCTGGCACAGCCTACCTCCACCGGCCCAGAGAGTCAATGTGCTGACCACACACTGTTAAGTGCTTGATGGTACATTTCAGCAAAGAGGAGCAGGTCCCACACACACCAGGCAGCACGCGGCTGTGGTGGGGGGCGGGGGGCGAAAGCCAAGAACAGCAGGTGAGTACAGCCAGGCCGCTCCTGGCCAGCTCTGCACTCCCTGGTGTTTGAAGTAGGGTCTTAGCAGGCTGGACAGGTGCTGTCAGAGTGACACGAGGACCACACACCTGGCGTGAGGAGCACCTGCCCCAGGCCAGGCCCTTCCCAGCACCCCTCACCTGTCCTCACAAGGTCCCTGTTCTCCTCACCACCCACTGCCCGCTGAACGAATGACAACACCGAAGGCCTAGAGAGGCACTCATGCCCTTTTCCAATCTCCATGTTGTGACACGGGAAAGGTCTCTAGTTTTAGGCTATTAAGTTGAACAGGGCTAATCATGTTACTGTTTTTAACAAAGAAAGAAGAGGCTGAGTATCAGCTAGAATCTAATAATACTGGTTTGCTTTTCTTTGTATTAATATAGTTACCTTCTACTTATGGCAAATTTCCTTCTTAAAGGTGTGTATTTGTGTTTGAAAGTCAATTTGAAGAAAAATATTTACCAGTAAAATATAGTGTAGCAAAAAACAAATGCCAGAGGTTTATTCAAGAAAGAATGGAGCTGATACAAAAACTATTTTATTTCACTCACTTGCCTTTGGCAAGCCTTCTACTAATTTGCAGTAAATTTCAAAGAGAATCAATCTCACTAATTTCCAATCCATTCCCTCATGCGCCAACCTAACTGCTAAGTCCCCTGACCCTTTCATCTTTTTCATGCTTATTTTGTTACCAAGAAGAACCATCTCAGGAACTTCTGTCTCTTGAATTAAGTTTAAAAGCTTCTCATCACCCACCGAGCAACCTCTGCCGCACACTTAAAGCCTACCCAGCAAAGACAAGGCTCCCAGCCACGTGAGCGAGAACTTCCACACACGTGTGATTTGTGAAACAAGCAGCAAAACACAAGAAAGCTAAAACCCCCGGGGACAGTGAACTGGTAATGGAGTGAGCAAAATGACAAGGCGGTTTGTGTTGTTCTGCCAAATATACCTCCCGCCCCCACTCCTGCACATGACGGGCCGCCCCTCGTGGACAGGCACATGTTTGGTTCAGATTCGTAGTTATCCGTGATCTCCGAATTCTCTCTCCAGGTTTTATGGGCCCCAATAGCAGGAACTAAATTCCTACTGTGAATGTTTGCTAAGTGTTTACTTAGTTCCTGGCACTGGCATTGAAGAGCACGAACTGCCTCCTTAGGCAATGCACTGGACAGACAGGAGCAGCGAAAGACAAAGACTACGGTCACCAACAGAACACACGAGAAGATCACTAATATTCATGCCACTAATATTAAACATGGGATATAGGAGGTTAGGAGAACCATAAATATGACATTTTTCATTTCAATTTCACAAGTGAGTAGTTAATGCAAAAGTGAAGGAAGGTGAGTGAAGAAGATTCCACCTGCAAGGTGTCTCCAATGTGCAAACAGATGAGCTGAGTCCTTGGTCTGCCCACAGTATTTAACCAAGACTGAAGCACCAAGAGCAGGTCCTTCTGAAGGAACCATGGGATGTTTTACCCTGGGCACCAAAGAGACTCTTCCCCTTTAAGTAAAGCTACAATTCTGAAAATATATATACAACCAAAACATATTTTAAGTAGTCACTGCTCTTATTTATTTTATTGTATATTCTCATTTAGGCTTTTTTCTTAATAGTTTTAGATGGAAAAGATTTCTTCAGGTTCTTTCCCTTCTCCTCATTGTAAGAAAGTCCTAAGCACATACTTCTAAAACAAAACGGGCAAAACTCACCCACAGCACCCAGAGGGGCACATTTGGGTGAGCATGCTGTAAGAAGAGCATGCAAGGGGAGATTCATACTAGAAAACTCAGGAGAGTGGTCCCCTCTAGGTGGGAGGGGTTCCGTCTCTAGGATGGGGTACCAGGAAGGGCCCTCTGGTGTGGCTGGCATGGTTGCATCGCTTGATCGGAACCGTGTTCACTTTATTATAATCCACTAAGCCATGTATTTGATTTGTGCGGTTTCCCAAAATCTGTGTTTGATAATAAACATATTTAAAATAGCACACTTTTAATTTTTTTCTCTAAGAAAAAGAAAAATATTAGACAAATGAAAACCACTTCTTGGTCCACGAGAGACCTGTGCAGGTCCACACGCCTTCTCAGCAGCAAACGGACTTCCTGGTGATTTTCATCTGGTCCAGAGACCTCAATGTGGCTCGAGCTGAGACTCAGGGCCATGAGACACTCTCACTCTGGAGGCTCATTGAGGAAATGATCCCAAGGTACCCTACTGCTGATGTTCCAAAGAAAAGCCATTTGCTGTTGCATAATGGTAATGTGGCATCAATCACACATTTAATAATTACTTGCCTTTAAGTTTAAGAAATCTAGGAAAGTGAGGAACTTAACAGAAAACTGGCATGGAATCCCTATCTTTGCTGTGCTATAGTGAAGAGGTAAGGAGCCCAGGGCGCAGGAGCCAGGTGAGAACTCTGTCTGAACACTCATTGCCGACACTGCCGTGCATTGTAGGTACTTTAGAAAAATGCAGTGAAAATAAGCGTCATGTTCTGCTTCCTTAGTTGGTCAGTATAGACATATGTTTGATGATCCTTCTGAAAGAGGCAGCTGAAAATATTTCAAGGAAGGTGGGAGGTTTTTCTGCACAACAGAATTTTGTCTCTCAAAGTCAATCAGTCTACTTTACAACAAGCAGCACAACCTCTTGGGGAGAAACACAAGGCCACTCCCTCACAGCAGTCATTTGCTGCAGCCTGGCTGGTCACGGGACAAGATGAAAAATGTATGCACTGAATGTATTTGTTTTACATAAATTATGACCTGACAGAAATTAGTTTGCCTCGTGTGCTTATAAATATTAAAAGGGCAAGAGTATGCAAGACAGACTAGAAACACAGGAGGTGTTCTGCAGTCCTGGGAGCCCTCCACGGTAGACGTGAGCCTCTGCTCACTTTTCCTGCTGCTAGAAAACCTCTCTAGAAATCCAGAGGGAAGCAGTGGTGCCATACAAGGGACTACAGTTTATTTTCCCATCTTCCCTCCATGTGAATGAAATGCCTTGCAGTCTTCATTCCTAAAAATATTTCTGTGGCTGGACACAATTCCCACTACTGACATTCAGTGCTACCTACTATAAACTCAGCTCCTAGGCTCATTTAGTAAAAAATTTAGAAACTACCTTGTCCCATATTTCCATCTTGAAGTTGGGAAATTCAGCTCAAACGTCTGTCAAGGCTTTGGGTGATGACATGTCAACGCAGGTTGTAAAAAGGTGCTTCTCTGTGTGTGGGGGTGGGGTGTTGATAGTGGGACAGGCTGTGCGTAAGAGGCACAGGGGCATGTGGAGATCTCTGCACCCGCAACTCAACTTTGCTGTGAACTCAACACTGCTCTAAAAAATAAAGGCTATTAAAAAAAAAAAAAAAAGTCTGCCACGGAACACGTAACTCAGAAGTGACAGAGCCAGCCTGGACTTGGCCACGAAGCCTCCTCCCTGTCTACTGGAAAATCTGGCTTCCCAGACAAAAGCACAGTCCACCGTCCACAGTAAAGCAAGTGGGCTTAAAATTCTGTTGTGCAGAAAAACCTCCCACCTTCCTTGAAATATTTTCAGCTGCCTCTTTCAGAAGGATCATCAAACATATGTCTATACTGACCAACTAAGGAAGCAGAACATGACGCTTATTTTCACTGCATTTTTCTAAAGTACCTACAATGCACGGCAGTGTCGGCAATGAGTGTTCAGACAGAGTTCTCACCTGGCTCCTGCGCCCTGGGCTCCTTACCTCTTCACTATAGCACAGCAAAGATAGGTGCTTTTATTCCCTAACAAGCATGACTGGTAGTTTTTGAAACAAGCAACTAAGTACTTCCCTCAATGTAAGGAATCAGAGAAAAAAAAGTCAGAACTAGTGCTGTAAGGCAGTGCCTCAAAGAGCTGAGAAGAAACAGCTAGCCAGATGGAGGGCAGGCGGGCCATTTACACCCATGTGCTGCACAAACACACCTCTCCCCCAGAATACAGCTCCGCTGTCCCCTGGTAGGCGACATGGTCGGAGCACCACAGAAATGGCATTTGGCGCTGGAAACCTGGGGAGAAGGGTGCTGCAGAACTCATTCGCACACGCTGCCCCAGCAGGTGCTCTGGGATGCTGCATTACCTGGGGTAAGCCTAAGGACCAATGAGGACTTGAATCCCTGGCATCGCTGTCCCTCAAACGTGAGGAAGGGCAGCCCACACTGGCAGCAAGGTGTCCACCGAGCTGGGATAAAAAGGCAGGCCCTGTGGGAAACAAGAAGCGCACAGCAGCAGCCTGGGGGTAGAAGTTGGAAGGCAGCACACCTGGG